AATTATTTTTTAATTATTTTTTTTAATTTTCACATTACTATTATATATTATATATTATTCACATATATTATATATATTCACATTACTATTTTATACTATTATATATTATTTTTATTACACTAAAAAATATTTTTACAAAAGAAAGAAGGATGTATGAATATGTATGGACATATTTCATGTATAATTTTACATGTTTATGAATATTTATGCGTGTTTATGTATATTTATACATATTTATACATATTCATGCATGAAAAATTTTTTTCACCGGGGAGCTTAAAATTGTACTCAAGACGAGAGAGAGAGAGATCTTAAATATAAGATCTAACTATATAAAAAAAGAATGTTATAAGAAAAGAATATTATAAGATCTGACTATAAATACCAGGCACAGAGAAATCTAAATCTCTATTAATTTGACTTTAATTGTTTCAGCGATTTATTTCCATTAAGAATACCGCAAAAAGAATATTGTGTAGTTTACATCCACTTCTTCAGAGGGCAGCAGTGCGTAGCGGTAAATGTCGATATTCTCTCTGGCGATAGATGGCGATAAGCGTCAGAACACCTTGACAGGGGCATGCACAACGGAATAGATCGAATAGAGTTGAACAGAATAGTTTTGTGATTGTGATTGGAGTTGATGCATAAAACGAGGAAAGAACATAACATAAAGTAACGCGACGCAGTGTAACATATAAATTATCAAATCTGATCGATCATCGGCGAGAAGCAAGATATACCTAATGAGATAGAACACGTTCCCTTGTCCATGTGTGCCTATCACGCGCGTTTTCGCGCCGCGCTCGCTGTTGTAGGTTATAGTATCACGCACACGAGATCAAGATAATAACGGACTAGAGGACAGAGAGGGAGAGAGTGAGTGCGTGTTTAATATATCGATCTCTCGTTATCTTCAAGCGGAACGTAGCCGCAAACGATAATCGAAAGCGACGTTGGAACGACAGAGAAGAAAAGTGTGAGGTTAGAACGTTTTTTCTTTCAGTAAGATGACTGTATCTTATCGAGGGATAAGCCTGAGATACAATTGAAAAGCGCAGGCAATAGAAACAGAGAATAATAGATTTCAACCTGTCAGAAATTGTGTATTTTTAGATATGTATTATTTCTGATAGATTGAGGTCTATTTTTGTTTTTCTTGTATTGTTTGTGTTTTTCACTTGTGTTTTTCATTTGTATTTTAGACTTAAACTTCGCATAAAGCCTCAGCTAAATGGCTGACTTATAATTTTAAGACAATGCCTCATGATTTATCTTTTATCTTTAGTAACGATCAGTAATAGTCTTGTGACTCAAGTCTTAAACATACATGAGATCACCTCTATATATACCTTTAAGACTTGTGTCGCAAGACAGTTATTATGTTATTAAAAACAAAAGACTTAGGTCATAAGATATTGTCCTAAGATTATAAGTCACTCGTTTTGCTAAAGCCTATATATTTGAAAAACACAGACAATGAGAAATAAATTTCAATCTATCAGAAGCTATATATTCTAATAGGTTCTCTCAAAAACTTTTAGATTGACTTTCACTCTTAAAGATTGAGCCATTCTTATTTAAGATTCAATCTTCTCTCTAATCAGACTAGAGATTGAGATTAGATTGGAATTTAAATCATTCAAAGCAAAATTCACTAACTTTGAAATTAGTTTTCTTTCTTTTGGTTAAATTTTAATCCAATTTCTGTCCAATTTAGTCTGATCATGACTGATTGAGTGAGATTCTATTTTGAAAAATTTAGAGAGTTGGATCTGTTATTCTCCCTGTTTCTGTTACCTATTTTTAATTGTGCATTAAGCCATTTATTGAAATTTAGTAAACTTTAAACATAATGAAAAGCATAGACAATAGGAAACTGGGAATAAGAGATTTCAATCTCTCAGAGAGAAACTATATATATTAGATTGCATCTAAAAATTGTCCAATCGTAGTCGAATATGATGAGAATAATCGACTGTGATTCATCAATTTTTATTGCTTACGATTATTAGAATAGAGAAATCCTGAAACATAATAAGTGTAGTAAACTTTAAGAAAGAAATTAATCAGTATCTTATGTGTCATCTACAATGTATGAAGTCTGCTTGATATAAGAAGTAAGAGGAAGAAATTAACCAATTATAGTCAATTATTCTTCTCGTATTCGACTGTGATTGATCAATTTCTTACTCTTACATTTTATATGAAGCTTATTCTATAACATATCTACATATTATAAACGAGGCATTATGGCTTAAAGCTTGCTATGTACTCCTATTGTGTTCCAGGACTAAGATCTTTAGGTAAGTCGTGTTAATGGAGCACCCAGTATGACGTTGTGATAACAAGTCCATGGCGCAACGAAGGACAAAGGCAAACAACAAAATCGGGATCACGGGGTCGTTCGCAGACCTATCTCGTTTTTGATTTCAAAAAGCTTGAGAAAAAAATCTTAAAGAAAAGAGAAAAAAATCTGTTGCCTTATCATTTTGCGTCGTCACGATAATAATAGAACGGACCGACGCTGTGGGCTTGTCAACGTTTATACTGATTGTAAGAAAAAAATCTCGTAAGAGGGATAGATAAAGAGATAAGAGAAAATAGAGATTACAGCAAAAGGAGAGGAAATTAACACTGCGAATTATTACGGCGAGGATTTTCACACGAACGTTCGATACACGAATAAATTCTAATTAATTGGAATAGTTTTAATTTTAGTGGGGGGAAGAGAAAAGAGGTTTGTTTTTTTATAGCTCAACTTTTTGTACTTTAAGTGAAATAGATATATGTTCTAAATTTAGTGAAAGCAAAAAAGGAAAATTCTATAGTGCACACTGCAAAAAATTATATGTAAAATTACAAGTGGATAATTTGGAATCCACTATTAAAGTGTATATTTATACATTTCATAAAGTAAAACGTCACAACTTACAAATAAAATTATTATTTTTTATAGTAATTAAATAGTTTGCGAAAGTAAATTTATAATTTTAGTTAAGTTTATAGAAATATTCCAATATTAATTCTTTAACGTATGTAATTTTGATAACTATATTATTGAAATATAAGAAAATAAAAATGCAAATTTATATGTGTGATATTTTACCATTATATAATTTCACATAAATTTGTACATTTCAATAAGAATTAGAAAATACATTATTTTTGTAATTTTCTGTTTTCTAATGTAAAGATGTATTTACATTACAATTAGAGGTAAAAGTATTAATTTTTTAAAACTGCAACTTATTTTATATATTAACATCATAAATTAAGTAATTTTTATAACGTTACATACATATTTATAATGTTACATACTTTTTTTTACAGTATAGTCTAATACACTAATAAAAAACAAGATAAAGAAACAAGGAATCTAAGGACGAATTTTTTGCCTTTTTTCCTCTTTTCTCTTTTCAAGATGGACTTTAATAATGATGAAACAATGTGGATTTGTCCTTTATAGTTGAATTTGTACGTCGCTGTTTTTCTTTTTTTCTCATCAGCTATTTTATTTTAAATGCGGAAAGTTTAACATAATACTACAAAGAATAGACTTTGTGTTAGACTATCGTGGTAACAAAACGTGATAACGCAAAGATATTACTTTCATTTGTTCATTATTGAGAAATACAAGCTTAGCGAAGTAGACTGGCTCACGATCGAGCTCTTTGAGAATCACGGGATTGTTTATAATTTATAGATAATCGTCACCGCACACAGACCGCCGTTAATTATGACGACCGTAGACTCGGATGATGATATCGAGAAACTGCCACATATACAATGGGACAATACGACGGTTCCCGGGCCATCCGGTTGTATGTTTCCTGGTGAATTGACACCGTTGGAATGTCAAATAGCCGGCCATCCTTTCAATGGCGAAAAACAGACTATCGGTAAGTGCGATTTAGTTTTAGGATTTAATTATGTATTTAACTATGTACTTAATTCAATATATAATTAATATTTATATTAATACTTATTAATAATTAATGGAAGATAAATGTTTTAAATATTTTGTACATTTATTTTTATCAAAAACTTTTTGTATATATGTAAAATAATGTTTAGATAACAAAAATTGAAAATTTTCTAGATATTTTTTGAAATTAATATAATTTCTGTGTTTTAATAATAAATTAGCCATTATTTTATTCTACTCCAATTTCTATTTTGTTCATATTTTAATATATGCTTAAAATTTATACTAATTGCTAAGCTAAACTTACATGTATTTCTATTTCTTTTCAATATGACGATTTAAAGCAAAAGCAGAGCAGTGCTTTTCCTATTTACAATGTTTGATTTATAAAAGAAAAATGTACAAAGATATTAATAGTATATCAGTCAAATGTAATCAATTCAGCGAATTCAGCGCTTATCAACTGTATATAAACATTTGTATATTGAATAACATGAAGAATTATCTCTAATTACAGGCGTGCTGGTCTGCAGACGGACTGGCCACATACTGAAACCGGCGACTAAAATAATCCTTGGGGAAAGAGAAATTGCATTCTACGAGAGCTTGAAGAATTCTCATGATCCCGTCGCATTGGAATTAAAAAAATTCGTTCCACGTTATTATGGCACAACAGAACTGCGTGTTTTTAATAACCGTAAGGATTTTCTTGACAGTCCGCAAATGTGATATGATGACTTTTGTGAATAAACTGTGAAATAAGACCTAACTCTTTTAAAACTTTCACGTGTGCGCATATATGTATATACATATATATATTTGTATATTTATATAATTTATATACATATTATCTGTAATTGTGTAATATAAGAATTAATTTATCAGGCGTGAGATGTAAATATAATATTATTTGGATGGCTAGTGTTTCATCTAGATATCTTTTTTTCATTAAACCGTTTTGTCCGATAACAGGTACGAAATTCCTCATACTTAGGAATATTACAAAGGGCATGGCCGAGCCATGTGTGATAGATATCAAGATCGGTTTTCGCACGTGGGATCCTTTGGCCACGCCAGAGAAGAGGAGAACGGAAGAACTCAAGTATGCTGAATCGAAGCGTACTTATGGTTTTTGTATAACAGGTTATCAAGTATATTCTGTCTTATCTGGACAATTAAGGAAATATGACAGAGATTATGGCAAGCAACTCGGTGTCGAGGGCGTCGTGGAAGGTATCTGCTTTAGAGTTTTAGAAGACATATGAAATCGATAAGCAAAAAAAAACGAACAATTACTCCATATAAATAAATCCAATTTCATGAGTATTAAAAGTCTATTTCAGAAAGGGATAATGAATTTTCTTAAATAACAAAATAATCTGCTTTCGATTCGAGCATGGTTAAGGCTAAGTCTTTTAATTCATTGATGATCAATTATAAATCGAAATTAGTATACCTTCCAATTTTTATATTAACGCTCGAAATTTTAATTCTAGAACGTTGACGGACGTTCCGTTATGTCTTTACAAAAATTATAGCTTCTTAGGAATTAGAAGTATAATCGATATCGCATTCCATTCTTTTTTTAAATATATCATTTAATTCAGATTAAATCATATATCGCCAAGCACTAATAATTTTACATCGACGTTCTAGGATCATTAAGAATAATCATTAGGTCAGACCCATAAATAAAGGAAAGAGGACCTTTACGACGTGTTTTAATCAATTTAGCGATAAAATGTTTCTCATTTCTCATTTTCGAAACCGCGTTAATATTCTTCTTCTTATCTTCACGCAGCACTAGAAGATTTCTTGAACATAATACCTGGAAAGCCAGTCTGCCGACAGTTGGTCTCCGAAATTTTGACATACCTCTACAAGATCGAACGGCTCTTCAACATGCAGCGGAAATATTGCTTCTATTCCAGCTCACTTCTGGTCGCCTACGATGCCCAACACTTACGGCAGCATTGTTCATTGAAAGTTGATAGTTCTGTCTCTCATTCAGCGCCGAAATTCGACAAAGAAATGATATGTGAGTCAGTTCCCTTATTAACAGTACCTGGAATGCACCGGAATTCATCTGAAATGGATGATTTAACGTTTCGATCAAAGATGAAAAAAAGCATAAGCCAGCCTATGTCGATGTCAAGCGAAAACATACCTACTCAAAGCGAAACTTGCAATTTAAATGTGGACCGGTTATGTCGGTCCAGCCCGAGTCAATTTTCACTTTCGTGCACAAACAATACGCAGAATGATGATGAAAGCACGGAGAACAAATGGGTCAGAGTGAAAATGATTGACTTTACGCATGTCTTCCCGGGAGAGAATAACGACTTGGATCGAAACTACCGGGATGGCATCCAGATGCTAATTCAGCTTTTAAGTCTGATTAAGAAGAGCGATTGCATGCATTAAAGTTGTTCTACTTGAAAGAAGAATATATTATTTGTGACGATGTTCCTGGAAGTGAACAGAAAAGATTAAGAGAAAATAATTCAGACAAAAATATGTTGATATAACGATGTGTCATTCATTGTTATCGGAATCAGATATCGGGACGACATATCGGAAGGACATGATAAATCGATAAGACCAGATTTCTGATCTATCATCTGATTTATCAACAATCGTCAGAGAAGACACTGCTCACCGTAGAAAGCTATTGCGATAACTTTTTGAAGAAGAAGCGATAAAATCTCTAAATAAATTAAAAATATTTCGTATCGGTCGGAAAATCGTGATTTGATAAAAACTTTAAGCAACGTATATTTTTCTCGAAGAGAATCTCTGATTTCAATAGTAATACTAATATAGAATCAAGTACTGTGAACCAGGATCATTCCGCAAGATTTAAAACTTAAGATACAATCAGAGAGAAAGTCTAATCGGACGCAATCAATTCTGAAAAGGATTCCAAAAAAATGTCTTCTCTAGGATAAAATAATTAAGACTTTTATACTTTGCCAAAAGAATTGTAATGCGAATGTATAGATTATCTAGGAATTTCGTACATTTGACCCTTCGCAGTTACCATGTGAAGGTTTTACAAATTTAGAACTGGGCATAACGAGAAAACAAAGAAGATTGAAAACGCAGCATTCTAAATGTCCAATTACCATTCGAGTAACTTTCACATTACGACAATAAGTCGCACTTCGTAAACATATGCCAATGGCGAATTCTTTAACGGTACCATTATTAATTCTGCCATGTTACATATATTTATGTTACACGCATTACGTGATAAAAAAAAGTGCAGATTATTGTAATTGTAACAGCAGCAATAAAACATTACGATGTAAAAAGTGGAGCGCGAGTATTTATTGAATGAAAAATTCTATTGATGTTCACAGTAATAAAGAATCTGTGACGCAAAACTCTTAAATATTTCACAATTAAAAAATCAATATAATTTTTCAATGCCAATAAGTGCAAATCTCTATAATTAAAATTACATGATTAGTTTCCAAGGTTTAATAATTACCAAGATTTATACTTTTATGATTTTATATATTGCAAATATGAAATAAATACTCACCGTCTCTCATAATGGCTTAAAACAACAATTACCTTTCGATGATAAATTTTATTTATTTCTACGACTACTCTTTTCGATTTTTCAATGCAATAACAAGTAGACTCATTGTCGTATAATATTTTATTTACCATTCATTCGTAAACAGTTTTTACAGATCGTCAACGATCGACGAGCGTGCCGTTGCGACGTGATCAATCGCGATAATAATTGATTACGTTCAGCAGAAAAAGCAACTTTGCAACTGTTGTAGAATCTTTTAATGTAATTGATTCTTGTTCTTAATTCCTTTTACTGATTCTAAATATATAAACCAATAATATTAAAAAAAACTTTATAAGTTGCAAAAAAGCTGCTTTTTCTGCTAAATGCAATCATTAATAATAATAATAATTTGCTTAATCTCTCGTATAACACTTATAGTAATACGCGCGCGCGCGCGCGCGCGTGTGTGTGTGTGTGTATGTGTGTGTGTGAGATGAATGTTAGGATGTACGTACATAAAATATGTGCGCACATAAACACACCCACACACGTATATACATATACAGAATTGCTCATCTCGATCGCATTTGTCATCTCCACTACATCGTTCTTTAATTACGCTCGCTTCGATAACGTTTTCTCGTTCAATTTTTGATAAGTGCTTTAATCGAAAGCTGATCGGAACTATTTGGGGTACGCATTGCATCTTTGCTCGTCTATAACGGGGATCGAGATTGGCTTCTTTGGAATCAAGTTACTCAACTTGATTCCATCTGTCTTCGTTTCAATTTTTCCCATAATTAGGCAGTAAAGAGGCGATTAAAAGTGCTGAATTTACAAACGGAATAGTACATTGAAAAAAAGATGTTTTATATATATTAACAATATTTATTACAATATTTATTTTTTAATTGAAAATACTTTTAATTATAATTTTATAACACTATTAATGGAACAAATATCATGCTCTTGTTTTAATAAAATTTTATTTATTTCATTAATATCGTTGTTGAGTTAATAAAATTATTTCATGCTGTTTTAGTACATCTTTTTTTCCGTGTAGGAATTTATAGAATCCAGAGAAATGAAATTGCATCTCGGATACAAATTGACGGAGTCGCCGTTGAAAAATCAATTAATTGCAATCACGACAGGATTATATGCACAATTAGCATTATCAATGCAATTTATAGTTGAACGGCGAAAATCATTTATAGTTGAATTTATAGTTGAACCGGCCGTAATCAATTAAACAAATTATAACGTTCGATCGCACTGGCAACGCGAATGATGACCGTATTTTCGCAATTTTCGGCTTCTTCCTCGCTTCCCTCTTTATCGGGAGAGTCCCGTTGATTAGTCGCGCTTAATTAAACGGGACCACGAACAACGAGATAATAATATAAGTAGCCCTATATCACATAGTAAACGCAGGCGCAACAATAAATATTGCGATAAAAACGCATTAAATAGCTAAACGCAATAGTTCCGTAGGAAATCGCGGGGTCCTGTTAGTATTTATCATAAAATACGCATGCTAGGCTAGTAATTGTTATACAGCGTAGTCGAAACGTCTCTCTTTCTCATTCTCTCTCCCATACACACATTCTTTCGATCTCTATAGGTATAATTACAAAGCGATTCGCTCGAACAATAATGAAATCGTTCGTACATCTTCGTCCGTTGTTATACGTATCCCGCATTCGAGATAAACGAAGGAAACCATGCATTCAAAGAAAAACAGTGCTAACAACTATAAAAATGACAACTACGCAAATTTTATATATAGAATTAATCTACACACTGTTAAAATCAAAGGAACAAATGATAATCCAATTCCTTTGAGTTAAATAATATTTTATTTTTAACTTTAAAATGCACGTCAAAAATTTAAATCTATCCATTTCTCTGGTTAATTTCAACATAAACAACAGTCAGTAAAGAATAAACTAAATTTGTCAAATTTAATACATTTATTTGAATTGTTTAATTTCACTGTTTTAATTAAAATAAAGTAAGACATATAAAGTGGAAGCTGTAGCGACCTTTAGAAATGATAAAACTCAAATTGGGTATCAAATTGACATTATATGAATTCAACAGTGCAGTTAATTGAACTAATGTACATAGTCACTTACGCGTATCTTTTCAGGCAAAGGGGATAAACAACACGAAAATCAATATATATTAAAGCTTCTTCAAACATCTCCAACGAACTTTCAAATAACACATAATTATCGTTTAACTTTTCGTCATAAAAATGAGTCTCATAATTTAATTGTTTCTCCTTACCAAATTTAAAGGGGTAATTGCCTCTCTGTTCTGCTTTGCGTATGTCGATATACATACAGTTAAATAAATTATTTCATAGTTACGATAACTGTAAAATATTTTATTCAACCATGTGTGTACATTGAATTTATATACAAAATTTATATAATTGTCACCTTTATGTTTGTCACCACTATATCTTTTTCTCTGAGTGTGAGACAGATCACTTCGCTACGAGGCAAATGGCAATAACAAACGGGATGCGATACGTGTTTGACGAAAAATTCCCTCGGCGTATTCGCATCCTCGCCCGACGCGCTTCCCTTATTATAATAATTAGTCTCGCTGTAACATTACGACTAACGGTTAATTCGTCCAAGATTACTTCAGTTACTTTTATTAGCTGCTACTTTCATTTAGGTCGATATATTTAACGTATATAACTATATAAATACAGCAGGCATTCGTTATATATTTACAAGTCGATCAACGCATTTCTCTCTTTTATTCTGTCTCTCATTTTTCATTATGTTTTTTTAGCACATTCGCTTATTTTTCGCCCCTTGGTTTTCTATCTGTTTCCTCCCCGTGACAATTTTACGAATTTCTGCGGCGAAGGAGTGGGTCGTGTCCGTTATTAAATTAGATATTAAATTAAGTCGTTCCTCACCAACATTGCCTTCAGTCTTATAAATTCCAATTATCTGCGCTAATGACTCTAACCATTTTTCTAGATGTCAGCCTTAATTAACTTTGCAACTCTTCATAAATAGTAAACAATCATATGTCGCTCCTTTACTGAAATGTTAAAAGTGGCACTATTCAGAAAAATATGATTCTTCAGTTAAAATCATCGTGTGAAAGAGTTAAATAAACATTATCCTATTTATCACAGCTGAATTTAACTTAACTTCATAAAAAAAATCGCAACTCAAAAAGGATAGTGTAAAAAAATGTCACATGTATATATGAGTGATCTTCAATTGTTTATTTTAGTGTGGGCTTACGTTTAATTTTTGCTCTAGAAACGCTCTAAACTTCAACCATAGAAGAGTTCTTCTCAGAAGAGAGAAAATGAGAAAAAAATGAGAAAACTGGTAATTTGATAAGAATATGTTTTTTTTGTCGATATTTCTTGATTGTCAGTAATTTGCTGTCAAGTTGAAGACAGTTTTCTCTTTTCATTTAAAAAAACCTAAAGTTCAAGTTGTATCTTAAAATTTGACTTTTTTTAGTTGTGTCTTGAAAAATTAATGTTTTAATTGTATCACTTTTAAAGTAAAGAAGCAATATAATTGTTATCGAGATAATCAGTAATAATATTAACAAATACATAAAAATAATTAATGCACTGTCAAAAATAACTAATGCGTTGTTCGACAACACTCATATGACAAAGGTGTTACGCGAAACAGATATCAGGGACGATCGGCGAGGTCGAAGACATTCGGGCATTGACGACGACGGACAAGGACGAAGGAGTCGCGCCCGTTGAAGGCGCGCATACGATCTCAGTTCACCGTCTAAATTCGCCCGACAAAGGTCGCTAACGAAATTGAAGAATTACGATGATAAGCTCGAACAAATGCGCGCCTGGCCCACGCTAAATTAGGCCCGGTCTCGCCCGCGCGCCACACGCCGGATTTCAATCTTATTAGCACTCTGAAAGGAAGGACCTCGGCGAACAATGGCATGTCCGATTGCAAGAGTGAATCAGATCTGTCGTATGGACCCGTTCGATTCAATGGGTCCTAAGTGACCTAATTGAAGTTTAAACGGATTCGAATTTTTGGTAATTATGAACAGCTTAACTATCTAGAAGCAGCATTGTCTTGTTAAAAAGAAAGAGTCGTGAGATTCTTCCCTCTTCATTTTTTTACTTTTTAAAAAATATCTTGCAAGTTAAGAATGTCTATTGACATATACTTTTTTTATATGTTGATACATATATATTAATACACTGCCTTTTTGGCAGTTAGAAGATCTTTTCTTTTTAGCTAAACTTTATAGATATATAGTTCATCTTTCCTTCTTTTTCTTTTTATGTTGGAGAGAAAAAGAGAAAAGATAAACTGTGCACACAAAGAAATTTTGCTGAAAAGAACAGAGCTAAAGATGCTATATTTTAGTGATTCCATCTTCAGTTCTTAAGTGTAAATTATTAGTCTATTAATACATTATACTTTGTCGATATACATCAACAAATTACCTTTTTGACAATTATTATATGAAGATTTACTATTTTTAACTGAGAAAAAAATGAACTGCAAGAAGTTCAGCTAAACAGAACTAAGAACGAAACCAATTTATATAAATCCGGAATTTACTCCGAATTTATTCTTTCGGAAAATCCAATCTGGATCCTTTTCAAATTATGCTGCACATTTTCTGTTCTTTTTAGCTGAGAAAAAAATGAAGTATGCAAGAAGTTTAGCTAAAAAGAACAGAACCAATCTGAACAGATCCCGAATTAAATTTTAAAATGTCGCAAAATATGCAATACTCGCCCCTACAGGGT